TTCACTGCGGGTCCTCGGGACCGTCTAATCATTTGGTGTTCTGTCGTGTGACTGTACTTCCCAGGCGGAGTGCTTATTGCGTTTGCTAAGAATCTCATCGTATGACAAAATACTAGCACTCATAGTTTACAGCGTAGACTACCAGAGTATCTAATTCTGTTTGCTCCCTACGCTTTCGTACCTCAGTGTCAATCTCTAACTAGTTACCTGCTTTCGCCATTGGTAGTCCTTCAAGTATCAAAGCATATCAGCGCTACTCTCGAAATTCTGGTAACTCCTATTGGATTCAAGTTCTCTACTGACTAATGTAGCAAAGAACACCCCCCGGGCAGGCCAGGACCAGATGTAGTACAAGCTTTTCTTCATACCCAGCTAATAGTAAGAATCGAACTTACATTGTATCCATATGAGGGATATGTTCTAACCGTTGAACTATATTAGCGTTGTCAACACTCGCGCACTGTGCACCTGAGCATACTTGATTATAAAGCAACTTTCGACTCGGCAGAACGGACTTTCTCCGGCGACTGTTCTGACGGCTGGCGACCTTCTAAGAGTGGCTTTCTACCGAGAGCGAGACTGCTGGACTCGAAGCGAGTCGCAAGAGAGATCAGGGAATGCGCGTTGGGACATTCGCCAGGTCCATTCGAGAACTGGTGAATCGTCCATTTTTGTACTGCAGCAAAGATGGGGCCGGACTGAGGGAACTGCTCATTGAGAATCGAACAAAGGGGTCTGCGCTGGAGGCAAGGGGGAAGGAAGGAAAGAAAGAGGTCGAGAAACGCAAGGACTCTCAATCACATCTTGGCCGCGGGCTTCTTCTGCTCCCGCGGGTTGGGGGCGTTGCCAGCAGCAGGGAGTCAAAGCTTGGGCTGCTGGATGAACTGGACACCCTTGGTGATCGATCCGGGCAGCTCGGCGAGGCAGGCCGAGAGGAGCTCCTTCTCGTACGCCGAGAGGTTGCCGAGCGGGTGGAGCTTCTCGACGCCGTTGGGCTGTGGCGCGTGCAGCGAGCGAGTCAGTTCACGGGTTCGAGGACTGGCAGAAAGAAAGAAAAGAGACAAGAGGAGGGAGGAGACGCACTCCGAGTTCGACGGGGACCGAGAAGAAGGCGAGGTCCTTTCCGATCGAGGCGAGAATGTCCTTGCTCTCCTCAACGTAGACATAACTCGGAGCGACGACGCCCTTCTTGCCCTCGAACGCGGCGGCAATGACCTGCTGCGCAAACTTGTACCCGGCGTACGCCATCGAAAGGGTGGCGGACCCGCCTCCGGCCTTGGCCTCGACGACCTCGTCACCGCCAAACTGGATCCGCTTGACGAGCGCTTCGAGCTTGGCCTTGTCTTCGAAGAGGGAAGCGGGCAAGGCCGGCTCGGACTGCGACAGGAGCGGGATGATGGTGTGGCCCGAGTGGCCGCCGATGACGGGGATGGTGTACTCGGCGGCCGAGTTGGGCGAGCCGATCGCCTGCGCCGACATGGTCGACGAACGGACGACGTCCAGCGTCGTGACGCCAAAGAGACTGTTTTCCAAAGGGCGTCCGTTTCCCAAAAGTCAGTCGCTTAGTTTGGGGGTGAAAGAAGGCGCTCTGGAAACTAACCGCTTCGGGTCAAAGGTGCCGGCCGCCTTGAAGACCTGCGTGCGAGGGCACCGAGGTGTGAAGGGCGTCAGTAAGAGGGAGGAGTCGGAGGCGATGCGCCAAGACGGACCTCTGCGGCGATGGGGACGGTCGAGTTGACAGGGTTGGAGATGATGAGGACAAAGGCCTTGGGGCAGTGCTGGGCGATGGCCTGGGCGAGGTCGCGCACGATTCCGGCGTTGATGTTGAAGAGGTCGTCGCGGGTCATTCCCGGCTTGCGGGGGACGCCGGCGGGGATGACGACGAGGTCGCAGCCGACGAGGGCGGCCTTGAGGCCTTCGCCGTCGTCCGACTTGACGTGGCCGGTGGTGATGGCGGGGGTGTCGACGTGCGAGATGCTGTTGCGCGTACGCGTGGTGCGCGGTGTCAGTGCCTCTGAAACCTGCGTGCGGTCGAGGAGAGGAGAGGAGACGGACTCTTGAGCGACGCCCTTGACGACGGGGACGACATCAAAGAGGCGGAGTTCCTTGATGGCGGGGTGAGTCTTGAGGAGGAGTGCGAGCGGCTGACCGATTCCGCCGGCAGCCTATACGTACGTACGCACACGGTGGGTGGTCAGCGTGTCGTGGTTGGGGGTCGATGCGGGGTGGGGGTTGAGGTTGGGGTGAGAGAGAGGGCAGTACGCACACCGAGAACAGCAGCCTTGACCATGATATCCGAGTGTGTGTGTGTGAGAGTGTGTGTGAGAGACTGACGGATGAAATAGGCCGAGGGGGTCGAGCCGGTCAAGAGTCGCGAAACGAGAGAGTGGGGAGCGAGTCAGCATGCCACGTCGGTCCAGTCTTTTCGGCGGCGAATCCCTGCCACGGGTAGATTCCTTACGAAGTGTTCGCACGGTGGAGCAGAAGAAAGTGCAGGAAAAGAGGCGAACGGAGCAAAACGTCGCGGTTCCGGTTCGAGCCGGATCTGACACATTCACGCGGAAATCCAAGCCGCGGCCAGTCTTTAGACTGGAAACTGTCCGATCGGACTCGACTGGATCAACTAGACTGTGTACTCCAAGCGAATAAAGACTAGAGTTGTGCAAGAGGGAAACCATTCCGGTGGACAATGAAAGGTTGACCCTCGTCGACGACATACCGGCTAGCGCTGGGACTGGAAAAGAAAGGACGCAGTTTCATCCGCAGAGAGTCGCGCAGCTGGTCTTGAAAGCCTTAGTGGTCGCATAGAGGTGCGAATTCTGTGTAGCCGTCCTGCTGTAGGCGCGGGAGGAGGAAAGGCTGACGAGAGCTTTGCTTTCGGTGGCTGCGAGGAACAAGTGAGGGCCCCGTTTGCTCTGACAACGTCTCCGGACGACGACGCTCCTTGTCTCCTGCGAAAGCGCATACAACGCGCTTGCTCTGGATGCAGGAAGGAGGGCGTTCCGCCTGCGATTTGAGGGAGAAAGGCCGAGCCCGAGCCCGCAGACGCCACTGGAAGGGGAGAACGAGGCGCGCAGTCGTCTCGCGATCGAACCGATTGGACTGGGATCTCTTGCGGTGGAGTTCTATGGCGAGTCAGAGGGCGGGACGAAGACTCCGGCGCCGGCGGAACGGGTCCGGGCGGCCGACATCTCTCGTCGAGAGGAACTCTTTCGACGGGAAGGAAGCTGAGAGGGCGTGCGTGTGGCCCACAGCGTTGCCTGAGCCACATCCGCCGAGAGTGGTCTCAGTAGTGGAGCAAAGGATGGTGTGCGAGACTTCCCGATCGGGAGCGCTATGAGAGGATGTGCCGTGGCGCGAGGAAGAAGGCGACCTCGGAGGGCTTCCCTCCCAGGAGACCCGCCACCGAAGGAAAGTCAAAGAGATGCGCGCTGCCTTTGTTGATTGTAGCCCAAGGTTCGAGTCGAAGGAGTCGCCGAAATGTCTTAGGCTATGAAGGGTGAACTTGCGTCGGTGAGGAAAGGGTCGAATGACCACCTGAGGGGCGGTGCGAGAGGCGGACGAGGTCTCGGCTCGTGCACGCGACTTAGCCGGTCATGACCACAGCGAGCAGCGACAGGTCACAGGGTGGAGTAGCTACACTCGCTATATCAGAGCACGCTCCTACACGCACATCAAAGACTACCTACGGATCAGTCTCCCTCGACTGCCCAAGTTTGACGACCACCTCGCCTCGCCTCGGGCCCCACTCGATTCGAGACCGGGATCATGGCGACGACTGCGGTGCCGACGACGGACGTGCCCTTGCTCGCCCTCGCGCACGATATAGTCCTCTTCCCCGCCTTGGTCGTCTCGATCCACCTCGCCTCGCCGCACGCCCGCGCCTTGATCGCTCACCTCGAACTCCAAGCGACGACGACCCGGCCGGCTTCTCCGCACGCAGCCCCTGCCGTCATCGCGTGCGTGCCGCGCAAGGCGAGACCGACTCTGCAGAACAGGCTCGCAGATGCTGCCAATCGGATCCTCGCGGGCGAGCAGCAGCAGCAACAGCTCGCGAGCGTGATCCAGCCTGGCGATGATGACAGAGGCGACGACTCGGCCGACGTCGAGATCGACCCGCGCGACCTCTTCAAGTGTAAGCACTCCGAGCTATTATCTCCGGATGGCGCACTGACCGACGACCTTCTTGCACCAGACGGAACCGCTTGCCGCATCGTTCGCTTCGAGCGCACTTCCTCCCGGCATGGCGATGGCGGCTACCTCGTCGTCCTCGAAGGACTCGCTCGCATCTCGTTTGATCCGGCGACCGCCTTTACAGCCATCCCGCACAAGGAGGTCGACGACGCCAAGAGCGCAGCACCCGTCTACAGCCTCCGGACAGTGACGGTCCACCCCGCAGCGGCGGCGACCCTGTCCCCGCAAGACGCGAAACTGCTCGCTCCCCTCCGAGACGCCGCTACCGCCGTCCTCGACGCCCTCACCGCCACCGTACCGGCACCGCTCCCGGCCGTGTTTGAACGGCGCCTCCGGACTCTGATCGGACGCCTCTCGCTCGCGAGCGCACCGGCTCTGATCGACGCCCTGTTTGGTACCCTGCCCCTCTCGACTCCTCCCAATTCGACGAGCGAAAGCACCACCGCGAACAACGCGACGACCGCCGCGATCGGCCTCACCCACGCCGACAAACTCTTGATCCTCTCGCTCGTGTCGCCTTCCCTCCGCCTCGAGAAGGCCATCTCGATCCTGTCCCGCGCGAGGGAAGGGCTGTCGACCCGGGACCGGATCGACCAGACGGTCGCGCGGCGACAGCGAGAGTTTGCCTTGCTCCAGCAGTTGCTCGCGATCCGGACCGAGTTGGACCAACTCGCGAAAGAATCGGGACGGGGTGGTGGCGGCAACGCTCAAAGCAAGGGATCGTCGTCGTCGTTACCCGGAACTGGTAGCAAGGCTATCACGAGTCGTAAAAAGGGGGCGGTCCCGTCACGCAAGGGTCGAGCGGGTGGCGGCGGCGGCGGTTTCGCGGCGGACGATGGCGCCGCCGACGATGACGACGAGGAAGAGGACGAGATGGCCGAGTTGGAACGCAAAGTCGAGGCGAAACAATTCTCGGACGAGGCGCGCAAGGTCGCCCATCGCGAGATGAAGCGGTTGAAAAAGACGCCACCGCAAGGGGCTGAGCACGGAGTCATTCGTGCGTTTTCCGTTTCTCTCTCTTTGCGACTTTTGAGTGTGTCCCTCGAGGTTGCTCACGAGTTTCGCGAACATGCACAGGCACATACATTGAGACGCTGCTGGCGATTCCGTGGACCGAAGCCGACTCGACTCCGCTGCCGTTGTCTCGCGATTTTGTCGCGCAGGCGAGGAAGAAACTCGACCAGGACCACTATGGACTAGGTGCGCGAGCAGACCTTTCCCTCTCTTAAGCGCTCCCAGTCTCTGATG